GCCCTGGGCTTCTACCCTGCGGAGATCACACTGACCTGGCAGCGGGATGGGGAGGACCAGACCCAGGACACGGAGCTTGTGGAGACCAGGCCTGCAGGGGATGGAACCTTCCAGAAGTGGGCGGCTGTGGTGGTGCCTTCTGGAGAGGAGCAGAGATACACGTGCCATGTGCAGCACGAGGGGCTGCCAGATCCCCTCACCCTGAGATGGGGTAAGGAAGGGATCAGGGGTCAGGTCTCTTCTCAGGAAAGCAGGGGCCCTTCTGGAGCCCTTCAGCAGGGTCAGGGCTGAGCCTGGGGTCAGGCCCCTCACCTTCCCGTCCTTTCCCAGAGCCGCCTTCCCAGCCCAGCGTCCCCATGGTGGGCATCGTTGCTGGCCTGGTTCTCCTTGGAGCTGTGCTCACTGGAGCTGTGGTCGCCACTGTGATGTGGAGGAAGAAGAGCTCAGGTGGGGAAGGGGTGAGGGTGGGATTGGGGTTTTCTTGTCCCACTGGAGGTTTCATGCGCAGGCAGAAGTGTGCCCTGCCTCATTCACGGGCCTTGTTTGCTCACACTTGCTCTATTGTAAAGGACGTGGAAAATGAAGAACAAATTTATCACCTTGATGATTGTGATAATGGGGATCTGAATCCCAGAAGTCACAGGTCACAGGGACGAGTCCCTGCTGAGGACAGACCTCCAGGAGGGCAGTTGGTTCAGTCCCTCCTTTCCTCGTGTTTCTTAATCTTGGCCTAGATCTTCAGTCACAGTTCTGGAACCTTCTCTGGGGTCCAAGACTAGGGGGATTTTCTAGGACCTCATGGCCCTGCCTCCTCTCTGGCCTCTCACAGGGCATTTTCTTCCCACAGGTGGAAAAGGGGGGAGCTACGCTCAGGCTGCCTGTAAGTATGGGGGACTTATCCCTGAGACCTTTTGGACAGTGTAGACAGGAGCCCATGGGGGAGCTCCCACACCCCATAATTCCTCCTGTAGCTGTATCTCCTGTGGGCTCTGACCAGGTCCTGTTTTGTTCTACCCCAGGCAGCGACAGTGCCCAGGGCTCGGATGTGTCTCTCACGGCTCGTAAAGGTGAGAGCCTGGGGGCCTGATATGGGAGGGGGTGGGGCAGCAGGAACACAGCTGGGCTTCTGGAGAGACTTTGACGGGGCATTATGAGTGTGTGGTGCCCTATTCGGAGTGTCACCACTTACTGTGACTGACCTGAATTTCTTCCTGATTATTTTTTTCTCCAGCATGAGACAGCTGCCTGGGTGGGATTGAGCAATGCAGTATTTATTCACGCCTCCCCTTTGTGGCTTCAGGAGCCTCTGACTTCTTTATCTACAAAGGCACCTAAATGACTCTGCGTCCCTGTTCCTGTAATGTGATGAGGTGGAGAGGCCAGCCCACCCCTGTGACCTGCTCCTTCTGTCACGCTGATCCATGTGCTGTGCCCAATCATGTTTCCTGTTCCAGCGAGGAAGGGCTGGGATGTCTCCATCCCTGTCTCAACATCATGGTGCACTGAGCTACTCCCCTACTGAGAATAAGAATTGAATATAAATTTGTTTTCTCAAATTCTTGCAATGAGACATTGATGGGTTAATTAAAGGAGGAGTTTCCTAAAATTTGAGAGTGGAAATAAATGGAAGACCTGAGAATCTTCCAGAATCCTTGTGTTTGCTTTGCTGAGTCTACTGCAGGTGGGGACAGGAGAAGGCTATGAGGAGCCCAGTATGGAGTGGGCTGTGCCCAGTCAGTGCTCAGTCCATCATGGGCTTTATGTGGTCACCCCTTGGCTGTGTCATCCTCTCTGCTCTGTTGTCCTTGTCCCAGTAGAACCTTGTCCAGCAGGACCTGGACAAGGAGGATGACGGAGGCTGAGATACCCCCAGGGCAGCCCCTGCACACAGGAGTCTCTGTGGTATCAAAAGATGAACTTTCAGACCCAGAAAGCTCTTGCCCTCCTAGGGCTCTTTCCTGGACTCTATTCTCCATCTGTTCCCCAGACTTTTTATTCCTTTTTTATTTATTTTTAGTTTTTACAGATACATAATAATTGTCTATGTTTATGGGGTACATGTGATGTTTCAGTACAGGCATAAAATGTATAATGATCACATCTGGGTAATTAGACTCCCTCACCTCAAAGATTTATCATTTCTTTGTTTTGGGAACATACTAAATCTTCTCGTCTAGTTCATTTGAAATATACAGTAAATTATTGTTAACTACAATCACCCTGTTGCCCTACCGGACACTAGATCTTATTCCTTCTACCAAACTGTATTTTTATACTCAACCCAGCCTCCGGTAACCACCATTCTATTCACCACCTCTGTGAGGTCAGTTTTTTTTAGCTCCCACATGTGAGAGAGACACGCGATGTCTGTGTCTGGCTTATTTCTCTTGACACAACGTCCTCCAGTTCCATCCGTGTTGCTGCACCCAACCTTTTTACAGGAACCCAATTCTGGAATTAGCAGAGAGGAGGGATCCCACCACTCCTTAGCTCAGATAAATTCGTATTAGATTTCTATCTCGGCCCACCTACCCCTATCCCTGCTGCCCTTAGTTCTGGTAATCCTGTCGCTGGCTCAAATCCAAACTCAAGGATTTATAAAGTAGGCTCTAAGTTAGATGCATATTTGTGTGGAAAATTGGACCCACAGTCAAGGATGATGGTTATTCCTAGGGGAGAAATATCTCTGTGTTGCTGAAGTGTGCAGGAAGGTTGTGTGGGAGGGAGGGAGGACACAATAGCACAGGTGGCATTGATGTCAGTGTGTAAGGACAATGTCAGTGTGACAGGACCCTGTGCTGTGTCTGCCACAAAACAGCACTTGCCCTGAGGTTACATTAATAAAGATCCTGTGTCTAGACTACGGAGGTGCTTTACAGTGATTGTTCATTCAACTGTCATTGGTCGGCCAGATACAAGACAGACTGTTCCTGCACGTGAGGAACATCGTTAAAGTAAAAACAGAAATATTCCTGGCTTCTGCAGCGTATGTTCCAGTGGGAAGAGACAGACTATGTTCTATGAGCAGAGCAAACAAGGAAAGTGTTTCTGTTAGAAGATGGTGAGTGTTACAGGGGAACATGATCCCTAGTGTGGGGTGTGGGGACAGGCAAGGTGGCTGTGGCACTGGGGGGTCAGCGTGGCCCTTGTTGCAAAGAAGGGAAGCATGGACGCTGCGTGCTCTGAGGAAGGATTTGAAGGACACGATGAAGTATCTGCAAGGCGCTAGGGAAGTTCTTTCCAGGCAGGGGAAGCTCAGCGCAAACGCACGGGGGCAGGAAGGCGTCTGCGCTGCGGGAGGGGCGAGGAGGCCGGGAGGCTGCACAGAGAGCAACTGAGATGAGGTCAGAGGTGGGGCTGGAGCAGGTGGGCCTGAGGGTGTGGGGAGGGTCTGACCTTCGCTCTGAGTGAGACGGGGACTTACAGGACAGTTCTGAGCAGAAGACGACATGGTGCAACTTCCCTTTTTAAAGAGTCTGTCTGGCTGCTGTGCTGAGAGCAGAACTGAGCGGCGGGAGGAGCGAGGAGTGGGGGAACAGCGGGAAAGGAGGGCAGGTTCCAGGCTGCAGGGGGCGGCTGAGCAGCGGAAATCCAGGGAGGCGCTGGGTTCTGGATCCATTTCGAAGATGGACTCTACAGCGTCTCCTAGTGCATCTGGGGTGTGAGAAGAGGCGTCCGGGAGGACACGCACAGTGTGGGCTGTGTGAGCGGAAGGACGGAGCTGCCGGCGGAGATGGGGACTACTGTGGCAGGGCGTATTTGAGGAGGGGGCATCGCAGGCATTCAGTGGAGGAGGCGCCACCAGGAGTGCGGGGGAGGGGGCCGAGGCGGCAGCTGGATAACAAGTCTGGACTTTAGGAGAAATGTCTGGGCTGGAGGAATAGATTTGGGGGGTGACACCATGTAACTGATTTTTAAAGCCTCCAGCGGGGATGAGGTCGCCAAGGGAGTGACTGGCTACAGGAGAGAAAGGGAACAAGGGCTGAACCCTGGGCCTCCAGTGCTGAGGATCTGATCCGGCCACACGCCCAGAGCCGACTGCACAGTTCTGTGGCCACATCCAGGAGGCGCGGAGACCAGGGAGTCCCAGACTGCACCGTTTGCAGGGTCCCCTGGATGTGGCGCTGAGACACGGAAAGTCAGGAGTGGAGCATGATGTCCCTTGTTCGTGACAAGGGTGGAGCTGATGCTGCTGGTCTTCAGGTCACACGTCTGCCCCAAGAACACAGAGCAGGATCCCCACGTGTGCGCTTAGCCCCCCTGCAGGGCTTGGTAAACACGCGACTCCTTGCTCTTCTGCGTGATGCTCTGAGCGGTGGCTCTGGGAGAGGCCTGAGTGTTGTCTAAGTGCCACCAGCAAGGCCAGTGCCCAGCCAGACTGCAGCCCTGAGGCCAGTGACCAGAGGGTGCTCAGGGTGGGTCTTACCCCCATTTAAATGTCCTCTTTTCCCTTGGGAAGAAAAGGGAGAACATATGTCATTAATTATGAGACATGATGTTGGGAGATTCCCATCATTCTCTCTACCGTGGGGTACAGCCAGGTAGAAGGTTCCAGTATTGGCTCTCAGCTCTGCATAGAGACCATCCCTGAATGCTGCTCTCTGACACTGTGCTCCAGACTGATTTCTCACTCACTTCTTGGAGCAAACAATGGAAGCCAAATTTTTCCAATTTACACATAAAGTCGTATATATGCTATTGGGGAGTAATTTTATTGTAGGGAAGGCCACAAAGCCAGGCTTGTGGCTACACAGCCAGGAGCAGAATCCACAGTCCACGGTAGGTCAGGTCCCTCATAGGAACCCCTGCCCCTGCTGCTGGGGACAGATGCCACTGCTCACACCTCTGACACCCTGATGCTGGACACTGGGCCCTGTGGTGAGGACTGCTGTCAATGCTGCTCCTGGCAAGTGGACGTCACCACTGCCACTTGTCTGTCTTTACCAAAATGTGTTCTGCACAGTCCCAGCCCCTCTGTGTCACCTCGTCCTGGTCAGAGTCTGGCAGGTGGAGCCTGAGCCTCATGTCTGTGTTCAACGGAGGGGTGACTGGAGAGTATCCTTTCCTGTGGAGGGAGGTGGTTTCTGTCCCCTCTGAAGATTTTCAGTGTGCAATTTTGATATAGCATGAGGGTGCAGGTGCCGGGAGGCGAGGGGTGGAAGAAGAGTGACAAACTCCCATCTTTGCAGCAGTGATGTGAGATTAGAGCTTCGTCTGGCACTTTGCAGGCTCTTGGTCGGCCGGATGAACAAGAGACTAGTAAACAACATCTTTCCACCCATTCCCTCGAGAGTATGATGTTACCTCCAGCTTTCGTCTGTACCCGTGTGCACTCTTCGTCATTGGGGTGGTATCGTGGTGTTAGAAGCGACCCCCAGTGTCGTTAAGAGAGCAGTCAGACACTGCAAACTGTCTGGGTAAGGAAGGCCCAACCTTTACTTCTGATCAGAAGGGCGCCAGCGGCAGTCAGAGCAGCTGCGCTACAGGGGGTCCTCACCTTTTATCCCCAACGCAGACCTGTGGCTGTGTCTCATCCCATTGGCCGAGAATTCCACCCACAATCTTGTTCTTACCCGACTGGCTAAGGGGTGTTGCTAAGACACACAGGAAGAGGGGGTAGGGGCTCTCAGTGTAGTAGACGTTTAGAGTTGGTGGGCCAGTCAGGCACAGTAAGGTGTGTGGGAGTGTGTTACTTCCTGACACTTTGGCAGAAAAGATCAAGCCAAGGTTATCTCCCCCTACAATTTCCCCCTCTTTTATGTTAGACTTTTCCACTCTTTTCTTCAAGTTCAATGAGGAGGAGATGACTTTGGTGTTCTTGGTCTTCTAACAGTAACAACCTGTTTTCATATGGGGGTGAAAGAGGTTGTTTAGTTAGGGCTGTTTCTATTACTCTTTGGATTAGTCCTCTAGCACAAGGGATAACGCAACATCCCTTTAATGTTAAGACACCAAATACAATAATTAAGGAAGTTAGCACTGATGTCATCAAAACTTTCCATTTTCCAAACCACTGCTCCATGAGGCTGGTGAAAGTGTCACCTGTCCCTGAGTTTTCGGCTAGCTCATCAGCCAAGGTAGTAAGTGCTTGCAGAGCTTTGGTGACTGTGCCATCCGGAGCTGTGCTGTTGGGGGTGTGAGTGCAGCACTGGCCTCCAGTCATGACACACACTCCCTTTTTCTGCTAACATCATATCTAAAGCCATTCCATTCTCCCAA